ATATACAGTGGTGCCTTGCAAGACAATTGTCTTGGCGGAGGAAAAACCCGCAAGGTGATTGGTTTTTGCAGTCCCCCCTATGGTGCCTAAATTTTTTCTCATGACAATTTTTGCAGAATGAATTAAAATTGTCTTGCGAGGCACCACTGTGTGTATATATAGTGGTGCCTCGCATTACGATTGCTTCGTTTAATGATGAAATCTAATTACAATGAACTTTTTGAGAACGACTTTCCATCCAATGCATTCCAATGAGAGAAAATTCAAAAAATCACCAAAAATTAAAGACGACTCAGAACAACACCAAATTAAGTTTGCGTAGGGTTCAGGAGGTGGGCTAACGATTGCAAGCATTTAAAACCTGTTCCAAACATTGTAAGGCACTTTTAAATGAGCAAAAACGGACTTCGCAAAGCCATTGAAATGTATTGAGTCGGCTTCAATACATTCCAATGGAGGAAACATTGTTTCACTCAACGATGTTTCCTATGGGTTTTTTCGCTTAAGGATGGCAATCCGTGCCTATTGGAACGGATTAACCGGTTTTCAATGCATTCCTATGGGAAATGGTGTTTCACAGAACGATGTTTCACACAACGTTGATTTTTTTGGAACCAATTAACATCGTTGTGTGAGGCACCACTGTAGTTATATAATTATAGATACAGTTATATAGTTTTTACATAGACATGAATTTGACCCAACTCCGGGAGGCAATGGAAGACAGGAGGGCCTGGCGTGCTCTGGTCCATGAATACACACACACACACACACACACACACACACACACACACACACACACACACCCCTATATATACTGTATATCCCATATCTATCTTAGAATATATTCACCACAGTGACTTGGAGATTTCACTCACTCTGACAGTTTGTTAAAAATAAATCCATCTTTGAAAGCAACCATAGTGTAGCATCATGGTGGCTAGGATATCTGAGTATTTGAAAAGGGAGGAAGTAAAGAGATGGCATAGAATAGGTATATCTGGAATTAATTTTGGTGTGTGTGTGTGTGTGTGTGTATTCAATTACAGGAGCTGAATATTTAGCAGCAATTAAGACTTATGAATGGCTTTAATATGTTCAGCTGCACAAGAAGTATACATGCCAAAGGCTAGGAAAAAAATTCTGTGGAACCCAACTGTTTTAACTGGGTTTGTAAATTAAGCACAGCAAGTAAGGTTATGGAAAAATAACACAAGAATCAGATGGCTGAAGTTCTTCCTGGTGATGGGAAACTGAAAGATCTGTGTAAGCCTTTGGTGATTTGCTGGTTAACATGAATTTCCTTCTCACCACAAATGGTAAGTAAACTTCCACTGCATATAGTAACATGTATGTCTGAGTCAACAAGCCTAGAACCTCACTACACAACTCACTATCTAAGCTGTCCATCATTTATTATTGTTTGAAGGGCATTTTCTAAAGATGTAACATTATTTTTTTTTACTCAAATTCTCAGAACTCTCCAAGAATTTCCAAAGCAGAATTCTGGGAGTTCCATCCCACAGAACCATACAGTGATGCCTCGCTTAATGGGTGCTCCGTTTAGCGATGAAACCGCATAACAACAAAGATTTTGCGATTGCAAAAGCGATCGCATTGAGATGTTTTAAATGGGTTTTTTTCGCTTTGCGATGATCAGGTCCCTGTTTCGCTTACCGATCATCGCAAAGCAATGATTTTTAACAGCTGATCGGTGGTTCCAAAATGGCCGCCGGGTAAAAAAAAATGGCCGCCCGCTGTGTTTAGGGACGGATTCCTTGCTTAAGAGGCAGCGAAAATGGCTGCCATATGGAGGATCTTCGCTTTTAGGTCAGTTTTTTGCCCATAGGAATGCATTAAACAGGTTTTAATGCGTTTCTATGGGCTTTTTAAAATCGCATAGCGACGAAATTGCTTAGCAACAATTTTTTCTGCATGGATTAATGTCGCTATGCGAGACACCACTTGTACTTACAGGCACCTGCATTTGATTCACCTAGTCCTAGATTATGACCAAACCCTAAGACAACATGGCTGTCCCAGGCTTTGCTTCCTGTCAGTAATGTACCTAAAAGGAAGCCATTATGGTACTCCCTGGGAGAGCTCCAGGAAGCACCATCTAGAGGTCCTGAATTAAGTACCACAGCAGACATCAGTTTTGTTCATTAACCATAGGGAAAAAAGGTGGAACCAGTGGGAATGATTTTTTGATGTTACAGACCGTCCCCCATCCTGAGGCTCCCAAATCTATCCGAGGTGGATAGGGATCCCTGGGGAGCCTTGGGACCTGAGTGGGAGGGGCGGAAACTTTAAGCATTAATGTCTGTAAGCTGCCAATGTCATCAACCATTATGAACACAAAGTACTATAGCAGGAGTTCGGCCAATGTACCTTCCACATATAGATGTGGATATGGCTTCTCATAACTGCATTCTTATACTGACAGCTGTTTTATATAACTGAATTTCACATTTGAGATGGGGGTTCAGATTCAGTTTTAATGAGTAGAAATATGGAAGATTATTCTGGATTTTCCCTGGTGTTGAGATGCCTTCTCTCTTCAAATATAGTGGAATTTATTGTATTTAATGGACTTGCACCAAAATTCACACAGGACGTTTATCCCCAAGGCCCAGATATGAATCTTTTAGACGATTCCTAGTAATCTGATCACCATACTCGCCCAATAATAATCTTTAAAATCCTAGTTCTTCAAGTATGTGCTTGTAGTAATGGATAAACAGCATGGATATTACACTGCTTAAAGTACTTTTAAGCCTCTTCCTTTGATTGCTGTGGATACACCAAATGCATTTAGCTGTCATAACACACCAAATAAATTGTTTTTTTCTTTTTCAGAAATTTCAAACACCTTACACACTGAGTGCAATTTATTAATCTATTTATTGGGAGAGCAAAGCTCAGCTGGTGTCTAGAAAAAACAGCAGAGACTTGTCTACAATCAATGGTTCTGCCATCATTAATAAAGAAAGCAAATATTTTTCCTTTTCTTCTCATTTGCAATGTGAATTGAATTCTAATTTGGGGAGGTGATATTACACCCTGGCTTTTCTCTAAATCTAGCAATTCTCCTGGGCCTCCTTTTCATACAATGCCAGTGTTTTACACTTCACACTTTGAAATTGTAGGTGCTATACGGAGAAGAAACGGAACATTTTACCTGCCCAAATACTCCACACTGTATGTATTTCATAAAACACTTGATGATTCTGAGGTGAATGAGACAGCCCATGCTTATTTCAAGCTAACGTGCACAAGACCACAAGTATACCCCCAACTCAACAGTTCCTTCCTACACCAGGATAAAGTTTTTCATAAGATCCCTTTAATCCCATTCTGTATTTCCCAGCCAAATCTGTATTTCATTGGCTCTTGCCCTGTGAGGATAAAGGAGGAATATTTGCAGCATTATGTCACTAGGAATCGGATTTTTTCTTCTTCTTTGACTACATATCCCGGTATTCCCCATTCTAGTGGTTCTAGCTGATTTAAATGTCTCAAGAGAAAGAGCTTCAACTGTAAATCTCTGAGGATTAGCTAGGCCTACCTCCAGCCAGTTTTTCTGTTCCTGTCCAAGTGCTAGCTGGGAGCTTTTTTTCTGAACAGAAAGCTAAGCAATGCTAGGCCTACAAAGAGCAAAGCCTCGCAGTTTAGGCCTTTTCTTCCAGGTGAGGCACATTTAGGTGTCTGTAAGGTGTATGCAAGTCAGGTAGAACTCCCAGAAAGAATTTTGGGACATGTAATCCAAGAAATCCAGAAATTCCAAATATCACACACATCTAGTCTTAACAAAATAACACTAGGAGACCTGGAGATGGAATGTTTAGGGAAGCATGTACAGTAGTTTGGGACATCAGAGACACGAATGCACACTGAAATATCAAAGTGCAGACCAGTATCTTAGTGAGAAAGTGTTAATCGATTATCCCAATATCAAGATATATGCGCATTCTTCTATAAATTTACTGTTACCAGAAGCATGTGCACACACTTTGTATGTCAGGGGAAAGTGCACAAAATGTATACATTGGTGCAAACATGAAAATGGACAATATTTGGATAATGTGAAGATTACCAAAGCAGAGTGTAACCACACATATATGCTGGATTTTATTTTGAAAAGCCAGTTTTAATGAACAAAGATAAGTAAGGTCTCATGGCAGGAGATCCTAACAAGAAAAGGAGTTTAGGAAGGGTGGGAGCTTCTTAGGAGAAAAAAAAGAAATTTTAAAGGCACAACTACAATCATTTCAACAAGAAAAAAAGGTGGGAAAGAGCAAAAAAAGCCCAGTGTGGCTTCACAAAAATCTGAGAGGGGACCTTTAAAAAAGATATAGGAAGTGGAAGGAAGGCCAGACCACGAAGGAAAAATACAGACAAGTAGCAAGGAATTGCATTGATGACATTAGGAGGGCAGAAGGTGAGAATGAGCTGAGGCTAGCTAGAGAAACTAAAAGTAACAAAAAACATTCTTCAGTTATGTGTGTAGCAAAAGACAAAGAAAAGAAAGTGACTCAGCTACTCAATGGAGATGGAAAAATGATAACAGAAGACAAAGAAAAGGCAGAAGCACTCAATTCCTATTTTAGCTCAGACTTTTCCCAAAGGACAGACAATGTGATGTGCAGATGGTGGCGATATGATTGTAACTGGAGATTGATAAACAAATAGTCAAGGAATATCTTATTACCTTGAATGAATTCATATCTCCAGGGCTGGATGAACTGCAAGCAAGTTACTGAAGGAATTGGCTGAAGAACACTTGGATTCACTGTCCATTATTTTCTTGAAATCATGGGAAATGAGTGAGGTGCCAGAGGATTGGACAGGGGGGCAATGTTGTCCCTGTCTTCAAAAAGGAGAAACCTGAGAAGTACAGACCAGTCAGATTGATATCAATCCCAGGGAAAGCTCTGGAACAGATTATAAAGCTGTCACTACACAAATACCTAGAAAGCAAAGCAGTAATAGAAGCTAAGATGGATTTCTCAAGAACAAATCCTGCCAGACTAATCTGATCTCATTTTTTTGATCGGGTAACCTTCCTGATAGACACAGAGAATACTGTAGACCTATACCATGTCTAAAGTTATTTTAGGGCACGTTCAGCTGAGTGACGCTGCAGACTAAAACAACCAGAAAAATCAGCAATAGCTGAACATGCCCTAAAACAAGCTGGACATGAAATTCTATTTCAAAATACAGAAGTACTGGACAACACCAACAATCATTATGTTAGACTGCACAGGGAAGCCATTGAAATCCACAAACACCAGCAGAGCTTCAACAAAAAAGAAGAAAGTTTGAAACTCAACAAAGTGGCTCCCAGCACTGAAAAATACAGCCTGCAAAAGGTCAATGAACTCTACGCAGCCACAAGGACCGGTGATCACTGCACACAAAAGACCAACTAATGATACCCATCAATCACAGTGACAGATCATCTGTCCCCCTTATCACAACAATACACCAGCAACAAAAACATGCTGATCACCATAATCACCCAATCTCCTGAAAAGGACAAAAGCTGATCCCACAGCTATAAATACTCAACTATCCAACAAACTGACTCCTGTCCTCTGAAGATGCCGGCCACAGAGACTGGCGAAACATTAGGAAGAAAAACCTTAAGAACACAGCCAAACAGCCTGGAAATCCCACAACAACCATGATCTAGATAGGCTTGAACACTGGGCTGAAAACAACAGAATGAAATTTAACAGGGATAAGTGCAATGTACTGCACCTAGGAAAAAATAACCAAACATATAGTTACAAAATGGAGGATACCTGGCTCAGCAATACTACAAGTAAGAAGAATATTGGAATCATTGTTGATCACAAGCTGAATATGAGCCAACAATGTGCTGAGGTTACAAAAAAGGCAAATGCTATTTTAGGCTGCATTCACAGAAGTAGAGTCTCCAAATTTATGAGGTGCTACTTCCCTTCTATTTAGCACTAGTTAGGCCTCACCTTGAGTATTGTGTCCAGTTCTGGACACCACACTTCATGAAGGATACCAACAAACTGGAACAAGTTCAGAGGAATGCAACGAGGACAATTATGGGGCTGGAAACCAAGCCCTATGAGGAAAGACAGAAAGAATTGGGCATGCTTAGCCTTGAGAAAAGAAGACTGAGGGGTGATATGATAGCATTTTTCAAATATTTGAAAGGCTGTCATATAGAGGAGGGGCAAGATCTGTTCTTGATCATCCCAGAATACAAGACATGCAACAATAGGCTCAAGTTACAGGAAGCCAGATTTCAATTGTATATCAGGAAAAACTTCCTAACTGTTAGAGCTGTATGGCAATGGAACTAATTACCTTGAGACGTGGTGAGTGCTCCAACACTGGAGGCATTCAAGTGAAATTCAGACAACCTCCTGGCAGATATCCTTTGATTTTTATTCCTGCTTTTAAACAGGGAATTGGACTCGATAGCCTTATAGGTCTCCTCCAAATTCATGGATCTATAATTCTATGATCAGGGGGAAAATCCATGCAAAAATGTGTATTTGAGGGCAAGTGCCCACGAGCATGCAGACATTCTTCAACTGATGCAGAAATGGGACAGAATGTAAACTTGAAAATCCAAGAAGGTTGAAAAAAACCTATGATAGAGGGGGAAATTTCTCTCTGTTCACTCTCGCCACATTGTCTATGTAATAAACTTCTCTTAGCTCTTCCTTACTTCCCTCTTCCAACCTAAAAATCACCAAACTTTGTAACCTTTTCTTTTGCTGGAGCCTAAGGGTGGGCAAAATGTGTCCTGTGCCCCCAAGGTAGCTCATCAACAATATGGTCACAGCTTCCAAAATTTGTATTTTATTTAAATTTTATATCATTTAAATTATTTTTTAAAATGCTGGGGAAAAAACCCACTCCACCCTTCTGCCCTCTGTTTTGGAGGGTGTAGAGTGTGGGAACAGATGTAGCCAATACTGTCCTCAAAGGTCCAGGGTGGGCATGTGCAAATGCTAGATCTCTGTAATTTGCCCACTCCTGTTCTAGCCTCTTGAGCATTTCTGTGGTTGTTCTTCAGCCTTCCAGACTTAATATTCGAAATATGGTTCTGCAGATAAATTTGTATAATGGGTAAATTATTGGCAATATTATTTTAGTCCTGTAAATCAGAGGCAACTTGCAATCACACAACAACAATAAGAGCAGGAGGCAGTTGGTCATGTCCATATGGTAGACATGGGACATGGCTTGACATGGGATTTGTGTTAGGTGATATATTGAGTTCATGGTATTGGGCCATACTAAGTACGCTTCCCAAGAAGTCTCTAGAATAAGTTCCAAAACCCACCATAATAACATGGAAGTTCGACACCTTTCACTGAATTTTCAGGGTATTTTTTAAAGGATATATCTTTATGCCTTTATTTTAAAAAGATATGGAGAAATCTACTCAATATTCAATCCAATTTCCAACCAAGAAAGAAACTGACTTTTGCCTTCTAATTGGTTAATTTTTAAAGGCAAAGTCATTGGGCAAAATCCTATTGTATAACTACAAGGACATAACTCAACTTTAAGGTAAAGGTAAAGGTTCCCCTTGACATTTTAGTTCAGTCATGTCTGACTCTAGGGGGCAGTGCTCATCCCTGTGTCCAAGCCATAGAACAAGCGTTTGTCCATAGACAGTTTTGGTGGTCAAGTGGCCAGCGTGACTAGACACGGAACACTAATACCTTCCTACTGAGGTGGTACCTTTTTATCTACTCACATTTTTACATGCTTTCAAACTGCTAGGTTAGTGCCAAGATGGAGGTGCTACCTTCAAAGTACATCCACCAAAACATCGCACAAGTCTGTGTTGCTGGGCATAATGTCCAACACATTTACTCAGGAGTAATTTTATGTTTAGGGACGTGGTGGCGCTGCGGGCTAACCCGTAGAAGCCTGTGCTGCAGGGTCAGAAGACCAGCAGTCGTAAGATCGAATCCATGACTCGGAGGGAGCTCCCGTCGCTTTGTTCCAGCTCCTCACCAACCTAGCGGTTCGAAAGCATGCAAATGCAAGTAGATAAATAGGGACCACATCGGTGGGAAGGTAACAGCATTCCGTGTCTAAGTCGCACTGGCCATGTGACCACGGAAGATTGTCTTCGGACAAAATGCTGGCTCTATGGCTTGGAAACGGGGATGAGCACCGCCCCCCAGAGGCAAACACGACTGGACAAAAATTGTCAAGGGGAACCTTTACCTTTACCTTTACCTAATTTTATGTTATGCATGCACGAACAATAATTTGACCATTTTTTATTTGCAG